CCATATCGAATGGCACCAGAGGAATTACAAGAGTTAAAGATGCAGCTAGAAGAACTTCTAGACAAAGGGTTTATTAGACCGAGTGTATCTCCATGGGGGGCTCCGGTACTCTTTGTAAAGAAGAAAGATGGTACTATGAGGCTGTGCATCGACTACCATGAATTGAATAAGTTGACGATCAAAAATAAGTATCCTCTTCCTAGGATTGAAGACCTATTTGATCAGTTGAAGGGCGCATCCGTATTCTCAAAAATTGATTTAAGGTCGGGCTACCATCAACTGAAGATTAAGTCAGTTGATATACCAAAAACGGCATTTAGGACTCGGTATGGGCATTATGAGTTTACGGTGATGTCCTTTGGCTTGACGAATGCCCCTGCGATGTTTATGGACTTGATGAATAGAGTGTTCCATCAGTATTTGGACATGTTTGTCATCGTATTTATTGACGACATACTGATACATTCGAGAGATTCCCTGCAACACGAAGAACATTTGAGGATAGTTTTGGGAACCCTGCGTCAGGAAAAGTTGTATGCCAAATTCAAGAAATGTGAATTTTGGCTTGACCGAATGGGATTTCTAGGCCATACTATTTCAGCACGAGGAATTGAAGTGGATCAATCCAAAGTTGAGGCCATAACAAATTGGCTGAAACCTACAAATGTTGGAGAAGTGCGGAGCTTTCTAGGGTTAGCCGGCTATTATCGACGATTTATAGAAGGATTCTCCAAGATTGCAGGTCCTATGACACAGTTGACTCGGAAGGGTACTAAGTTCGTATGGTCAGAGAAATGCGAACAAAGTTTTCAAGAGTCAAAAGACAGGCTCGTATCTGCGCCGGTTTTGACTATTCCCGATGGTTCAGAAGGTTTTGTGATTTACAGTGATGCATCTAAGCTTGGTTTAGGATGTGTTTTGATGCAACATGGAAAAGTGATAGCTTATGCTTCGAGGCAGTTGAAGTAATACGAACAGAATTATCCCACGCATGACCTTGAACTAGTAGCAGTAGTGCACGCCTTGAAGATTTGGCGCCACTACCTATATGGGAGCAAGTGTGAGATCTACACTGATCATAAGAGTCTCAAATACTTCTTCACCCAAAAGGAGTTGAATATGAGACAGCGACGATGGTTAGAGTTAGTGAAAGATTACGATTGCACTATCCTGTACCATCCGGGTAAGGCTAATATAGTTGCTGATGCACTGAGTAGAAAGAATATGGGACAGTTGTCAGCACTGTGTACAAGACAGGATCATTTAATAAGAGATTTTGAAAACCTGAGAATTGAAGTATTAACATCACCAGTAAGGACATCAGCAAAGTTAGCAAGTTTTACTATGAAACCGACACTCAGGGACAGAATAGTAGCCGCTCAGAAAGATGATCCCTTTTTGGAAAAGATTAGGGCTGATGTAGGAACTGAGAAGAGGAAGGGATTTGAAATAGCCGAAGACAAAGCCTTGATGTTTAAGGGTCGATTTTGCGTGCCAAAGGATGAAGCGTTGAGAAATGAAATTATGACTGAGGCTCACTCAACTCCTTACTCTGTCCACCCAGGTGGAACTAAAATGTATCGAGATTTGCGTAATACATTTTGGTGGAGAAATATGAAAGGGAAGATAGCTCTGTTCGTGTCCAAATGCATGGTTTGCCAACAGGTGAAGGCCGAACATCAGAGGCCGTCAGGACTATTGAACCCCATGGACATACCAGAATGGAAGTGGCAAAAGATTGCAATGGATTTTGTCATTGGATTTCCTAGATCAGTGAAAGGTCATGATGCGATCTGGGTAATTGTGGACCGACTTACAAAATCTGCTCATTTCTTGCCAGTTCGGACAACTTACAGCTTAGAACAGCTTGCACAAATTTATGTCAAGGAGATTATGCGACTTCATGGTGTTCCAGCATCCATTGTATCAGATAGAGACCCGAGGTTTACTTCGAAGTTTTGGATAGGTCTTCAGAAAGCTATGGGTACCAAGTTAACATTTAGTACTGCATATCCTCCTCAGACTGACGGACAATCTGAACGAACTATACAAATTCTTGAGGATATGTTGAGAGCTTGTGTCCTAGATTTGGGTGGTAAATGGGAAGATCATTTGCCGTTGGTTGAATTCGCATACAACAATAGCTTTCAAGCCACTATTGGCATGGCCCCGTATGAGGCTTTGTATGGTAGACGATGTCGTTCGCCATTATACTGGGATGAAGTTGGTGAAAGGAAAATTTTAGGCCCAGAATTGGTCGAGAAGACTGTGGAGGCTATAAATAAAATTAGATCAAGAATTAAGACTGCCCAAGATCGACAAAAGAGTTATGCTGACAAAAGGAGGAAAGAATTGACTTTCGTGATTGGAGAGAAAGTATTTATCAAAGTGGCACCAATGAAGGGAATACTACGATTTGGAAAGAAAGGGAAGCTAAGCCCTAGATTTATCGGTCCATTTGAGATTCTTGAAAAGATTGGGAATGTGGCATATCGATTAGCATTGCCACCCGAGCTTTCAGCAGTGCACAACGTATTTCACATTTCTATGTTGAGAAAGTACATTCCGGATCCTAATCATGTGGTGAATGTTCCATCACTGGATGTCCAGAGTGATATGACTTATGAGGAAGCTCCTGCAGTGATTCTGGAGAGAAAGGACCATGTCTTGAGAAATCGAAAAGTCTCACTAGTCAAAGTCCAGTGGAGTAAACATGGTGAGGATGAGGCTACTTGGGAACGAGAAGAGGACATTTTAGCCAAGTACCCCGATCTCCTTAAAACAAGTAAGTTAAATTTCGAGGACGAAATTATTTTAAGTGGGGAGAGTTGTAGCGACCGGAAAAAAAAATGTGTTTTGTTCGTTTCAAATAAAACTTTCTTATAGGACTCAAATATAATTGGGGTTATATTATTTTGTCGCTACGACACTTCCTAATAGTCCAAATTAAATTTTGGTCACGAAAGTAAAATTTCACGTACTTGATTTTCTTAAATTTTACAAGTTGTTAAAATCGTTTTTAACCGACAAAATTTTATGTTAATTTGGCTACATTATTTTTCTTACGACACACTTTATTTTAATACTACCATTTTTGTTTCCATTATGTAAACTATTTTTTTTTAATTGGACAAATTACTTGCATGTTTCATCATCCATCATTTATTCTCCAATTTATCATTCTAATAAACTTCCATTTTTGTCAATGCCAAAACCGTCCCCGATCATTCATTTGAAAATAAAAATTTCAACTCCAATTTTTATCCATTATCCCCACTTTATTATCCATTGTAACCTCCAATTCTAACCAACCCTATCTTAGCATATTAATCTCCATTTTGTTAACTGCCATTTTGTTTTTAAAACTAGCATTTGGTTAGTGGGATGATAACCTACACGTCTCTATCCATATCCATTTGGAAGTTAACATTTTAAAATTTCAACCACCCCCATTTCCTCAAGTGTAACCTCCAATTTCAAATACAACTCCTACCACCATTGCAATTAAAAACTTGTAACTCCCATTTTATAATTCTACACGGCCACTCTCTCTCTCCCAATTATACTTATTGCATCAAATTATTTTGCCCCTTCTTTCATAGACAAAAAGAACTTTGAATCTGAAAATTTCTAAGAAAAGGGCAAGACGTACGCTGCATTTTATTCTTTGGACACGAAAGGATATTTCAAATTACAAGCATTAAGGTAGGAGTGTTTCGGCACTTATGATGTAAGATTTATATATTTTCGTTTGCATTAAATGTGTTATTGTGTTGCTCATGATGGAATCACCGTTTGGTGGTTTAAACAAGAGATGAAGAAAATGATTATGACAAATGAAATGGGGTTATCAAAACCTAAGAGTAAGCGGACAGACTGATCACCAATTCGCTTGAAATTGACGGTGACACAATTGACCAAAGTTTGCATTTCTGAAAATATATATTTTTACCGTTTACTTAAGTGTTTCCTACTGAGTATTATTTATAGTACTCATCCCTACAGATAATTTTACAGGTTAAGATCGAGGCATGGCAATGGTTGGCATAGTGGCAAGTGTTCGGCAATCTCTAATTCTTTCAATTTCTAGTGAATATTTCTATTTATGTAAATATTTCATGGAACTTAGATGAACTTTTAGAAATGCTTTTTAATGTTTATTTTGTTCCATTTTTAGACAGTGCATGTTAACAAGAATTTAAAAGTGTTGGATTAATTTGTATGAAGTTTTATTTTATGCTGGGTGGAAATTTCAGTTTCTGTCCTTCTAGTTGAAAATAGCATAACTTGGGCTACGGCGCATTTTTTTAAGTGAAATCAGTGGGTTTTGAAAGGTCTATGAGTCTTCTAAAAGTGGTCTTTGGAATTTCTCGAAAATATTACCTAAAAATAAAGTTATGCCCGTTTTAGTAAACTGCATCGTGTCGAATCCGAGATTCCTGTCCAACATATTCGAGTAATATTTTCGTGCTTCAAACGTTATCGTCGAAACCCCAAATTTTTATATGTGGTACATATATGAATGATTTAGTCCCTGTAAAAATTTCATAAATTTTAATAGACATTTGCTAGGCCAAAAATATTTTTCTTCCGCTGTCGTTAAATCTGTAACTGTCGATTTGTCTTCAAATCTTTTACAAAAAAATCAAATTTTGCTACATTTGCCTAAGTTATATAGATAACTACCTTCGATTATATTTTTGTATATTTAAAAAAAATTGGATTTATAAAATACTTTGACTAGCGTTAAAGGGGTCGAACCAACGAAAGAAACGAATATTATTTTAACGCTTCAATTTTCGAGAATTCGGAGCGTTACAAACATGGTGTCCATAACGATATTCATTCTCTCGTGAGAGAAAACATTGGATGTCAATGAAAACCCTCAAGTGGCCTTTACTTTAACAGATGCCGTGTCATGCGTGGGGCCCTTTTACGCAGCAAGTGGGCCTTGAACCGAACCCTTTATAAGTCACAGAAGAGCCCTAAAAGCGCCATAATACAGTAATCCACCGTCCTCTCACTCTCAATTCTGCTTTTTGAAATCACTTCTTGCTGGTAGGAGCCTTTGTGGCTTTTGAGTAGATTGATGATATAATGTTGAAATTTTATTTAATTATGATTATGTATATTTGATTTTAAACATCTAACTGGTGAATTTTGGATTTGGAGATAATTCAATGATTATGTAAAGTTGCGAACTAGTTCTGTTTTAAATATTTGTTGAATTAGAGCACCGGTTTTTGATCTTTAAGCTAGAAATAAACTGGGTGCTTTTATTTTTCTCAATAGGATTAAAAAGAATTATGTCAATTCGATCTGAATATGTATAAGTTTTATATGTAGGTAACTTTATGCTTTAATTATGGTTGTTCGGGGGTTTATAAATTTTTTTCTACTTTCAGTTATAGTTTAGATTTTCTTGTCTTTTTAGATAAGAGAATCAGTGTAAGAGGAAATACTACTGATACAAAGACTAGTCTTGGGAATGCCACGAGGATGAGTTACCAATTTTTATCTTTTCAAGGTCAAAAACATATCACACAAACTACCGTACTGTGTAGATATTTGGAGTGACAGTGTTTATAGGCCTCATAGGCCTCTGTGTTTATAATTTCTTCTTTGAAGTTTGGATTTGCTTCACTTCTGAGGAATTTTATTAGTTCTTTCTGCTTCCTTCATCAAACTTCATAAGGAAATATTGTTCAACTTATTCCTAATCATTGCCAGGATTATTTCCTAAGCAACTCTTTCTTGGCAGATGGTGGATGTTCTCTCCCATTAAAGTCAATATGAATGAAAATTACTTAAAATAAATTCAGAAAGAAACAGATAAAAGGGCATTGTTTTAATTAGTTGATTCCAGAGGTGCTTTATCAGTCAATGTTATCTTCTTTTTTTATGTATCAATTGTACTCATCTGATGGGAGTTTTCTGACACTTGGAATTGGAGGTAATGCAGAAACGATGTCCTCTAGTAATTTCAGAACTCAAGATGCTACCAGCAAATTGGAGGGAACTCTTTCTTTCCAACATAACTCTCAAGGTGATCTGGCTGTATCCCCATTGCCCTGCAGCAGCACTTCCATCGTTCATCCTGATTATACTAGTGTTACAGCATTGACATCAGAATCATCCAAGCCTACATTGTTTTCTCGTCAACCTATTTCTGACAAGAAACATAATTACTTCACACTTAGTTCTATGAACGGCTCATCAGACTCTTCCCTGAATTCACATTTGCTCAGACATCAAGGGAGCTCCACTAAGCATGCTCAATTAGGTGAGTCATGACAATCATTTTTTTTTTTTTAATCTCTTGTAACCTTTTTGAACGTAAGGTTGAAGTCTCTATGTTTATCGAGTACAATGCAATACCTTGCCTTGTAATTTTGTTTCTTCTGTTAAATATTTAATGTTGGAAGTTCTTTTCTAGGAATTTAGTTCCCCAATTTGGAATGTTTATATTTCGTATTCTTCTTAGGACAATCAAGCTTTGTCTGTGCCATTTTGCTTTATTACAGTGTATGCAGATAGTTAAATAACCTTAATGTGAGATTACAAAACAACATAAGCGATCAATAGGGCAGCCTGCTTTCCATTTTCAAAAATTAGAATGCGGGCCTCTTAGTTTAGGTATATGCTAGCCTGCTGAAAAACTACTGGGTTTTGTTAAGTACATCTAAACTGACGTGATTTCTGAATTTTATCCTGAATTTAGAATGAGCTTCTAATCTCAATTGTTCCAGAATGCCTCTTGACATCATACTCTTTGTGTGTGATTTCTCCATATTGCTTGAAATGAGCCGGATGTTCAATATGGCCCTTACTATAGAAAATCTTGAACCTGTAATCTCGAACGATAAAGGAGTAACTAGACTCATCATGGAAGAATGGGCACACAAAATACGGAGTAGAATGGTATTTGCATTTTTGTGAGGACTTACCTCCCTGGTAAGCTAATAAAATTAAGTCACACGTTTCACAAAAATAAGTTATCTTAACTTAATTAGAAATGTAAGATGGGGGGTGTTTGACATGTAGTAAAACTTGTTTTTAGATGTAGATTTCATGTCATTAATATGGATACTTGAAATTTAAAAGCAAATGATGTATCACTGCAACATACTGATTCAAATTGTTATCACTTGGAAGAAACTTGTTTTTATGAAACAAATGGTGTTTAAAAGAGGCTAAGTTATTAGAACGACGCGCAGGTCTCTTGTAGTGATGTAATGTATAAAAACATGATTAGAAATGGGATTGTTTCGATGTAATCTTTCTGCTCACATTTTGAAAGAGGCTAAGTTATTAGAACGACGAGGAGGTCTCTTTGCAATGTAATGTATAAAAACATGAGATGATAATCAGGGTATCAAACTGAAGTCGTTGTTGAGTATAATTTGAAGTTTACACTTTACAGTTAGATCTTGTGGCCATACATACGAAAAAATGTGAGGAAAATGGGTGATATGATGGTAGTAATATGAGTTTTATTTGTGTTAAATACAGTTATAGCTATTATCATCTTCAGCCTGAATCTGTGGATCACTTGGATTGTAATACCGTTTTCCATCCATGTGCATATCTACTTATACCTTTTTCAAGTAGTTAAGTCACGACCTTCGTTCTGTCAGCTTACTCAGCTTCTATACATGCATCAAATTATTTAAAACAAGATTTTTTTTTGGTGTCATGCAGAAATGCCTTAATTTTCCGTGTTATTAATTTATCTGTTACATTAAAATGCTGTTTTGCAATGTCTTCCGTTATAGCCAATCAGGATATGCACCTTATGCATTTGTATATTTCCTATTCAGTTACTGGGGAAAAAATGAGAAAGAATTGATTCGATTATTTGCATCCTGTCATTATGATTTTATAGGACCAAACAGGAAGTTTAAAAAACTTTGAACAATTCTTTGGTTCCAAGTGTTAATAAGTACATCTTCCTTGCCATCCTCAGAAATGTCCATATATCAGTTGATGTTCATCAGCTTGTAATGTACAACCAGTAGAATGTTATTTGGTGAAGTAAAAGGATGTGTTTGATGAGTTGTACGAGACAATTGAGTTTGAGAACTGAAATTGAATTACTTATTCTGTGTCTTCATTGTGTAAATTGGAAAATATTTACCTTTCATTTGCAAATCTCAACTGTGAAATTTTGTTGATTCCTAGAAGGCCCTAGTCTTTTCTTTAAACTCTCTTTTTCCCATTATGTACAGGAAAATTGAATCCACAGTCAGAGGGCAGTTCTCGTCGAACTCCAGTTATCAACCATTTTCCTTCTACGTTAAATGTCAAACCAATGGGTGGGTTCTATCTCATTTTTATATGCATGGTTGCTGATCTAGACTATTTATCAATAAAATATGAGTTAATCAGTGGACAAGTGGTGGTGGTGATGGTGGGGGTGAATACTTTTAATGTCATGCATTGATAAACTAAACTCTGAACTTGTTAGTTTAGGCAGATCATTAATTTATTTCATAGGAAGTCCTGTTTTCTACTATATACACAGGAAAGCAGATCCCACTGTCAGAAGATCGCACAATACAGGTTACTGACAGAGGCCCTTTCCCAGTTAGAGCCCAACCAAGTAAGAGCATCTATCTTACGGCGATTAGCATGTGTTTCGTTGTCCCAGTTAAAATTAGTATGCATAACATAAAGCGTATATAATTTGATTATACTATGATTCAAAATGTCATTGTACTATGTAGGTAAACCATGTAGAATTTGATTGTTGATGGACAAATGAAGTTTTAGAATAGTCTGGTATTTTTGTTCTTAGTTGAACTGAAAAATTGCTCTCATTGATAACAAATATAAATGAAGGGGACATGTCGTAAAATAGTGTCTTATTTATTTTATTTTATTGTGGGGATTTATTGTACAATTTCTAGTTTCTGCATTTTACATTCAGCTGACAATTATTTTTCCGGGGAAAATTTAAAGAAACAAATATCTAAGGAAATTTATGAACTCTTAATTCAGCTTCCAGTGAAAATGCCTTTCTCTGAAGTAAAATGTTCTATGTAATTCTTTCCACGTGCAGGGTACTTAATTTTCTTTGACCAGTACTTGTCCTTGAGCTGATGACTGATATTGAAGTATTGAAATGTAATGAGCGTGATTGGGGTTAAAAATCATTACTTGATAAAACTCTTTGTGGGACTTATTATTGGGCAGCCATCTTCTTGAAAAATTATTGTATTAGTCACAAATTCTTTAAAAGAAAGAAGAATTACATGTAGGATGAATGGTCTTTTCCACAGGAATTACGTATTGAGATGCATGAGAAGTGACCTTTATTAATGACTACTATATGTACAAATTATGTTGTTGTAAAAAGAGTGTGATCAAATGTCCAAGTGATTGACAACTACTCTATGAACATGAGAAAAAGAAAAACTAGAAACAATATATGGCCAGGAAAGTATAGTAGTTGGTTGGCTTCAACATTGTATTTCGTAAAATTTGCAGGTAAGCTGCATCAAACCCAAAATTATGGATCTGTTGGTTATCCTCAAAAGGCTGTTGTAGTTCCATTGGCTAATGGTATATGCTGCCGATTCCTTATTTTCTTCCCTTGTGCTTGTTCTTGTTCTTACATTTGTTGCAATTGCCTGACCTCTGTTTAACTTCTGAGATTACGTTTTTTAGGGCCTTCTCAAGTTCGTTTGCCTGTTTGTAGACTATCAAATACTACAGGTATTTACTATGTCAGATTTACAATTTGTTACTTTTTGAAAGAATGTTCTCTCCACATAATTTTCCATTTTCACAGAGTCCAGGTCAACCCCAGTATGGTGTATCGGCTCAATGCATCTATTTTCATTTATATTTGCATGTATTCTAGGTGTAGGTTCCCGCAATGATGTTCGTAAATTTATATTATTTACAGCTCAGGTTATTCCTGTTCCAAAAGTTGGCATTGAATCTCAGGCTTCCAAAGTATCTATAATAAGAAGAGATGGAAATTTTCTCTCTGTTCCCCTGAGTCAATGCAAGAGGATGATTCCTCAACCCCCTAGACCTCCCTCTGTACCCTACCAACAGCATTGCATTCCAGCTCCTGTTTCAGTCCGGCCTCCTCTCCCTGCTTCATCTTTTCACATAAAATGGCAAGGTATCTCCATTGACACTTTACAGACCATCACATCTATATTGACAATAAGTAATTTTTGAGATTCTCGAAGTTTTGGAGCAATTGGTGTCATTTGGAC